TTTATCTTGTCTTTATTTGTGAACACTTGGGTTGTTTCCAGATTTTGGCGATTAGCTGCATGAGGGTGCAATGTCTCAATTTTGTTCTTGGGCCCTTGTGGTATATTCAAAGAAGTGGATTGCTAGGTCAAATGGGAACTCAATTCCTAGGATTTTTTTTTTTTAAAGCAAATGGTAAAGGTGTATTGGTAGTGGGATTGATGTTGGAATATTGAATGTAATGAATTATTGTGAACAACTTTATAGCAATTGAAAAATTGGTAAGGGGAGAAAAGTGGTTTGCTACATGCCAAAAAAATGAACTTGGATCCCTTTCTAATACCGTGAACAAAAGTCAAGTCGAAATGGATTAAAAACCTCAATATCAGACCTGAATCCATAAGATATATTGAGAAAAATATAGGCAGAGGTCTCCATGACACTGAAGCTAGAGGTGTGTTTAAGGAGTCAACACATTGGCCAAGAAAACAGAAGCAAAGACAAACAAATGGGACTACATTAAGAATCTTCTGTACCTCAAATGAAGTTGTGACCAAAATACAAAGACCATAGACTAGGTTAATATCCAAGATACATAGAGCACGGATAGAACTACAAAAAACATCCAACTCCATCAATAAGTGGGGAGAAAAGATGAACAGAAACTTCCTCCAAGATGACATACAAATGGCCAAAAGACAAATGAAAAAATACTTGGTGTCACTACTCATAAGGGAAATGTAAATCAAAACAACAATGAGTTATAACCTCACACCATAGAGACCATTATATTAAATAGAACAACCATCACTAGTGTTAGCGTGGGTGTGAGGAAAAAGGGGAATCCAATTTTGTCTAACTTATTAATTCCTTGATAAATCTTCTTTGCAACAAAAGAGTGAATACTGAAGGGTGTTATTTAGCTCATTAGAACTGTAGCAATGTTGGAGTAATTTTTAATGAGATTCGTAATTAGAATACAGATATATAGAGCATAATTACAAGAGCCACAATGTTCCTCTCTCCCTCTTCCCTTTTTTCCTCCTCTCTCTTCTGTTTCTTTTTCATGGCCAGAATGTTCCGGTCTACCATTGAGCATCATCTCTGCCTTTTTAGTTCTTCCCTTTACATTGTTTTATAGCAAACTCTAATATTTATTTATTATTGTCTAGAAAACACCTCCAGTGTGGCTGCTAGTGGGTCCTGTGGATCTTTTTTTTTTTTTCCCCTTTATTTTATTTTATTTTTTTTAAAGTTGTAGATTTACAATTTTTTGTGCTTTGGTTTCAATTATACAATGATCAGATACCCATCCCTCCACCAGTGCCCATTTTCCACCACCATGGATAATATCCCTCCCACCCCCATCCCCCCATCCCCCCGTCTCTGTGGCAGGGCAATCCCCTGTGTTCTCTCTCTCCTTTTGGGTGTTGTGGTCTGCAAAAGAGGCATTGAGTGGCAAACATGTTCAGTCCATAGTCTACTTTCGACATGCATCTCCCCTCCTGGGAGGATCCTCCAAACATCCTTTATTTGGTGCTCCCTTCTCTATCTGAATAGCCCTTTCCTCTAGGATACCCGGCTGGCCTCTAAGTTATGGAGTAATCCTCCTGGTGCTGATCTCAGCTATTCTTGGGTATTAATCTCATACTTTGTTACTTTATATCCCCCAGATGAATGCAATCTTTCTATGTCTATCCCTCTCTTTCTGACTCATTTCGCTTAGCATGATACTTTCCATGTAGTACCACTTGTATGTAAATTTCATGACTTCATCTTTTCTAAGAGCTACATAGTACTCCATTGTGTAGATGTACCAAAGTTTCTTTAACCAGTCATCTGTTCTTGGGCATTCAGGTTTCTTCCAGTTTCTGGCTATTGTAAAGAGGGCTGCAATGAACAAACAAGTGCAGATGTCACTTCGACTATACATTTTTGCCTCTCTGGGATATATTCCCAGGAGTGGTATTGCTGGGTCAAATGGGAGCTCAATTTCTAATTTTTTGAGAATCGTCCATACGGTTTTCCAGAAGGGCTGAACCAGTGGACATTCCCACCAACAGTGAAGGAGTGTCCCTTTCTCGCCACATCCACGCCAGCATCGGTTGCTTTTGTTCTTTTGAATTTGGGCCAGTCTCTGAGGTGTGAGATGGTATCTCATTGTGGTTTTGATCTGCATCTCCCTGATGATTAATGATGTAGAGCATTTTCTCATGTGCTTTTTTGCCATTCGGATTTCTTCTTTGAGAAAGTTTCTGTTCTTGATAGATCAACCAGATCTTCTGTTCTTGATAGATCAACCAGACTCAAGCTTAGCAAGGACATACTTCATTTGAGGGAAACAATGGAAGAAAGGGACTTAGTAGATATATACAGGACACTTCATCCACAAAAAGCTGAATACACATTCTTCTCAAGCGTACATGGAACATTCTCCAAGATAGACCACATGCTGAGCCACAAAACATGCCTCCATAAAATTAAGAAGGTAGAGATTGTATCAACAATCTTCTCAGACCATAATGCGCTGAAATTAGAAGTAAATCACACACAAAAACAGAAAACTAAATCAAACACCTGGAAATTAAACAGTGCACTATTGAACAACGAGTGGATTAGACAGGAAATCAAAGAGGAAATCAAAAGATTCCTAGAAACGAATGAAAATGAGAACACGAGTTACCAAAACTTATGGGACACAGCAAAGGCTGTGTTAAGAGGAAAGTTTATAGCTCTACAAGCATTCCTCAGGAAGGAGGAGCGAGCACACATAAGTAACCTAACCTCACAGCTTAAGAGCTTGGAGAAGGACCAAAAAAAGGAGCACAACCCGAACAGGAGAAAGGAAATAATAAAACTCAGAGCAGAGATTAACGAGATGGAAACCCAAAAAACAATCCGAAAGATCAATGAAACCAAGAGCTGGTTCTTTGAGAAAATTAACAAGATCGATAAGCCTCTAGCAAAACTCACAAAGAAAGGGAGAGAGAAAACCCTAATAAACCGAATCAGAAATGAAAAGGGGGTCATTACAACAGAAACCACAGAAATTCAGAGGATCCTCAGGGAGTACTTTGAGAAGCTTTATGCCACGGAACATCAAAACCTCGAGGAAATGGATAAATTCCTAGACTCCTACAGACTCCCAAGGCTGAACCAAGAAGACCTGGAATACCTGAACAGACCTATCACCATCAAGGAAATTGAAATGGTAATAAAAAGTCTCCCCAAGCACAAAAGTCCTGGCCCGGATGGATTCACTAGTGAATTCTTCCAAATCTTTAAAGAGGACTTACTCCCAATACTCTTTAAGCTTTTCCACGAAATTGAAATATCAAAAACACTTCCAAACAGTTTCTACGAAGCAAATATCACACTGATACCAAAAGCAGACAGAGATACCACAAAGAAAGAGAATTACAGGCCGATATCCCTGATGAACACAGATGCAAAGATCCTCAACAAACTACTAGCAAATAGAATCCAACTACTCATCAAAAAGATCATACACCATGACCAAGTAGGATTCATCCCAGGGATGCAAGGATGGTTCAACATTCGGAAATCAATCAACATAATCCACCATATCAACAAAAGAAAAGATAAAAAGCATATGATCATATCAATAGATGCAGAGAAAGCATTTGATAAGATCCAGCACCCCTTTATGATGAAAACCCTACCAAAATGGGTATAGAGGGGACCTTCCTCAACATAATTAAAGCCATCTACCACAAGCCTACAGCAAGCATCATCCTCAATGGGAAAAAACTGAGAGCCTTCCCTCTAAGATCAGGGACGAGACAGGGATGCCCACTCTCTCCACTGGGTCCTGTGGATCTTGGTCTGGCGAGGACCTGAAATTTAGCCTGTCTAAGCCCCGGGTGGGTTCAGTGACAAAGAGACTCATATTGAGCTTAGGGAAGATTTGGGTTGGGGAAGATATTTGATTAAAAGTTGACAGTAACTAGAAGGGCTGGAATGATAGCCCAGTGGGTAGGGCATTTGCCTTGCAAGCGGCCAACATGGCTGACCCAAGTTCGATTCCTCCGCCCCTCTTGGAGAGCTCGGCAAGCTACTGTGAGTATCTCCCCTGCAAGGTAAAGCCTGGTAAGCTACCTGTGGCGTATTCGATATGCCAAACACAGTAACAGCAAAGTCTCACGATGGAGACATTACTGGGCCCGCTCCAGCAAATTGATGAACAACGGGAGGACAGTGACAGTAACTAGAAGCCCAACTAATCTCAATTTATATAAATATTAACATGAAGACAGGCATAATTTATGACATCTTTGTACTCCATCAGACAAGGACTTGCTGTCCGTGGTATGAGTGAGATAAAACAGTTTTCACTAATTTTCTTCTGAGGAAATAACTTTTGATTATTCCATTAACAATTTATTGGTAACAAGCAGTATAAATTATGGTGGGCCTGCCATAGGAGCAGGCTTGAGGGGTGGTTGGGAAAATTGGAAACAGTGGTGGAGGAAAGGTGACAGTGGTGGTGGGTTTGGGGTTGGAATATTGAATGCTTGGAACGAATCATCGTGAACAACTTTGTAAACCACAGTATTTAAATAAAGTATAGGGGAAATTTATTTATTTTTTTCATATCTAGGGCTTACCTATTTCATGTATACTCCAAAATATATTAGTACAGAATTTTTTAAAAAGTTTTATTAATGACAGGTATGACATGATTATTACTATAATGAGATCCTAGTCCAAAATAAAATTTAATGCAATTATATATTTTTTAAAGTTGACAGTAACTGGTTTGCTCTTGTTTGTGAGTTTTTTCCCAGGCTTAATTAGTAATGTAAGTTGCTGACCTCAAGCTCTCTAGGATGTAGTTGCTTACTTATCATCTTTTTCCCCTTCCAACAAGCTGCAGTATATTTGGGGATTTGACATTGTCCCTTGGCAGTTTCCATTGCAAATGTTGGGTGTTTGTTTTCTCTGTGAGAGGTAAGTTAAATTTCTATATAATACCTATAATGTAGATTTCTTTTTTTAAGGTTATATGTTGGCTCTTCCAAGACATTCACATCGTCTGAAAAATCCCTGAATCCTTTGCAGTGGTGTAGACATGTCCTCGATAATCCGACTCCGGAGATGGAAGCAGGAAGGCGTTCCCTGTGCTTCAGACTGGAGCAAGGTAATTGTCACCCAGCACAGTCACATTCTCGAACATGCTCAGCCCTGGTTTTTTTTTTTTAATTTTTTAAATTTTTAAAAAATTTTATTGATTCACTGTGAGATATAGGTACAAGCTTTCATATTTGGATTACAATCACACAATGATCAAACACCCATCCCCCCACTAGTGCACGTTCCCCACCACCAATATCCCCAGTGTACCCCCTTCTTTTCCACCCTCCCACTGCCTCCACGACAGACAATATTCCTTATACTCTCTCTCTACTTTTGGGCATTATGGTTTGCACTGCAGATACTGAGAGGTTATCATGCTTGGTCCTTTATCTATTTTTGGCACACATCTCCCATCCTGACTGATTCCTCCAACCATCATTTTCTTAGTGGTCCCTTCTCATGAGGCAGATTCCAACTATGGAGCAATCTTCCTGACCCTTATATCTACTGTCCTTGGGTGTCGGTCTCATGTTATGTTATTTTATACTCCACAAATGAGTGCTGTCCTTCTATATCTGTCCCTCTCTTTCTGACTCATTTCACATAGCATGATACTCTCCATATCTATCTACTTATATGCAAATTTCATGACTTCATCTCTCCTAAGAGCTGCATAGTAATCCATTGTGTAGATGTACCAAAGTTTCTTTAACCAGTTGTCTGTTCTCGGGCTCTTGGGTTGTTTCTAGATTTTGCCTGTTGTGAACAGTTCAACCCTGGTTTTATAGTCGGGGTTAGTGTAGACACTTCCAACTAAAAAGCCTCACTGACGTGCACAGTGCTTGTGTGCGTGCACTTCACTTCATGTTTCTCAGTAGAGTGTATATAGTTTCCCACCTGTTTGTAGCTAGACTTTCAGCTTAGATGAACTTTGTACTGTAAGGTAGGAACATGTATTCATATTTTCCCCTCTCCAGTTTATTTCTTCTGTTTGCAAAGATACTGTGAGGGAAGATGAGTCCATGTTTAATTCTCTTGATATTGATAACAGAGATGTGTAACTGAATCCCAAGGTTTGGGATTCACTGGGATTGCACTGGGACCTGAGCTCTCTGACCCTTTTGATCGTTTCTGTACTCGGTTGCATTGATAACCGGAAGTCCTCACCTTTGGAAATTGGGAGGGAGCCGGACAGATAGTACAGAGGGGAAGGCCCTGCCTTGCATGCAGCAAAGGCTGGTTTGATCCCTGGCACAATATGGTTCCTTGAGCATCACTGTTGTGGCCAAAGTGATCTGGAAGGTCAAACTAACAAGGTTCATTAACATTTTAGGCAAAATGAGCAATGCGATCATAGAGAGTTGAAGAGTGTAGAAGGAGCCTTTGTGTATTCGCTTGAAAATGACAGCAGCTGCACTTCTCTTTTTATTTTTATTTTTTGGCCAGCAACATTTTTATTGAAATCAGACAGGGCTTAGATAGGAAAGGATGCAAGGGTGGGGGTGTAGGGATTAACATGTGTTTGGTTGGACATAAACATGGATTTGTTTGAATATAAATATAAACATGAATTTGGTTGAGCATAAATATAAACATGGATCTGGTTGTGCATAAACATAAAGGGCTTCCTTCAGGGGAAAGTCTTCTAGGAGACCCGCCCAGGGGCAGCACTTCATTTCAGCAGCTCCAGCATTCTGGATTCTGGTCCCCAGCACTGGCTTTGAACGCAGGAGTTATTCCTGGTGGTGCTTGAGAGACCATGTGGGATGCCAGGAATCAAACCCAGGTCTGCTACATGCAAGGAGGGTGCCATATCCGCTATATTATCTCTCTAGCCCCCCCATAATAATGCAGGGATTTTGAAGTTTTTATCGAATCACTGTGAGATAGACCATTAAAAAGCTGTTCATGATTGGGTTTTATACAGTGATCCAACACCCATCCCTCCACCAACCAGTGTCACTAGTTTTCTTCCCAACCCCCTCCCCCCCATTTCTATGACAGGCACATTCTCTCTCTCTCTCTCTCTCTTTCTCTCTCTTTCTCTCTCTCTTTCTCTCCCTCTCTCCTCTCTCTCTCTCCCCCCCTCCTCTCTCTTTCCCCTTCTTTCTCTCTTCCCTCTTCCGTCTCTCCCTCCCACCCTCCTTTTGTGCATTACTGAGGAGCAGCAGCACTCTTTTTTTTAAAATTTTTTATTAGTAAATCACCATGGGGTACAGTTATAGACTTACAAGCTTTCCTGCTTGTGTTTCAGTCATACAATGATTGAGTACCCATCCCTCTACCAGTGCCCATTCTCCACCACCAATGAACCCAGTATCCCTCCCATCACCCCCATTCCATCCCCCCTACCCCCGCCTCTGAGGCAGGGCATTCCCTTTTGTTCTCTTTTTCCTTTTGGGTATTGCAGTTTGCACTAGAGACATTGAGTGGCCTTTGTGTTTGATCTATAGTCTACATTCGGCTTTCGTCTCCCAACCTGAACTGGTCCTCCAAATACCCTTTACTTGGTGTTCTCTTCTCTGTCTGAGCTGCCTTTTCCCCCAGCATGTGAGGTCGGCTTCCAAGCCACGGAGTAAACCTCTTGGTCCTTATCTCTACTAATTCTTGGGTGTTAGTCCCCCATTCTGTTACTTTATATACCAAAGATGAGTGCAGTCCTTTCTATGTCTCTCCCTCTCTTTCTGACTCATTTCACTTAACATGATACTTTCCATGTTGATCCATTTATACGCAAACTTCATGACTTCATCTTTTCTAATAGCTGCATAATATTCCATTGTGTAAATCTACCAAAGTTTCTTTAACTAGTCATCTGTTATTGGGCACTCGGGTTTTTTTTCCAGATTTTGGCTATTGTAAACAGTGCAGCAATGAATATACACGTGCAGATGTCATTTCTACTATACTCTTTTGCCTCTCCAGGATATATTCCCAAAAGTGGTATAAGCAGCAGAGCAAATATTTCATACCCAAGATACTGTTCAAGATACTGTTAAAGTCATTCAGATGACTCTAAGCAAATCATTAAATCCCTATGAATATTTTTTTTCAGAGATTATATAGAGAATCTCTTAAGAGTCTTTATTCAAACTTCTCTAGACTCGAGGATGTTTTAGATGTACATTTCACTCTGCCCACTCCAGATGAACCCCAGTGGCTACAAATGTACTTCCAAAAGAAAAACCCAGGTATGCGAGACCAGGGTCTGAAGACTCCAGGCCACATGGCAGTGGTAGGGATGGGCCTTCCCTTCCCGTCTCCCTGCCCCTTTGGGGACTTGGCTGTCACATCCATGAACTGCCTCTGGGCGATATTTAAGTACATCAACACTTTGATCCAGAGACTCACAAATTAATCTCCAAATGGATTAGCTCTCTACAGAGATGTATCTGGACCCCAGTCATTTACAGTTTTAGAATTCCAGTGACTGTGCAACCTCTCATGATATTCACAATAAGCAATAGAAAATAAATTATCTGGCATCTGCAGTGGCAGGCAGGTTTGAATGGTCGTGGGAAAATTTGAAATAATGGTGGCAGGAAAGTGTAATAGTGGTGGGATTGATGCTGAACTATTGAATGAATGTAATCAATTAATGCGAACAACCTTATGAAAATAAAATTTAAAAATTGAATAGGGCGTTTGCCTTACAAGCGGCCAACATGGCCGACACGAGTTTGATTCCTCTGCCCCTCTCGGAGAGCCTGGCAAGCTACTGAGAGTATCTCGCCCACACGCCAGAGCCTGGCAAGCTCCCCGTGACGTATTTGATATGCCAAACGCAGTAACAACAAAGTCTCATGATGGAGACATTACTGGGCCTGCTCGAGCAAAATCAATAAACTATGGGAGGACCATGAAGCAAAAATAAAATGAAGTTTAGAACTAGGACCCTTTAGTTCAGGTTTCCACAGACTTCCTGAAAGGAGCCTAAGAGTAAATATTTTAGGTGCTGTGGGTCGCACAATCTCTGCCTTCACTAGGAAGCAAGAATAAATACAAAAATGAGCAAAGCTATTTACTAATAAACCTTTCATTATGGGCACCAGGATTTTAATTTCATGTGCTTTTTTTCCCCCATGGGCCATGAAGTATATTATTATTTTTTTAATTATTAAAACAATGCAATAAACATTCTTTAGCTAGGAATTACAAAATGAGGAGCAGATCACATTTGGACCACCCAGGCTATAATTTGCTGAGTCTGCTTTCATTCTTTTGCAAGCAGGTAGATAGCTGTATAGGACTGATTTTTTTTTTTTAATAAAGGAGAGGCTTTATTAAATTTAATGGAAATGACCTTAATTGGAGTGCTTTTGAGATTTTTTTTTGAGGTGATTCATTTACCACATTGTTTTAGGTATGCCACAAATGATTTGATATTTGTGTATAGTGCTTGTATTGACCATGATAAACCTAGTTAATATACATCACCATAAGACTACAGTTTTGTCTTGGTGATGAGAATTTTTTAAAATATACTCTTGAGAACTTTCAAATATCCAGTACAGTCCAATTACGTATAGATACCATGATGTCTATTACTTATTTTACATAAACTCGAATTTATACCTTTTGGTCATCCTAATCTAAAACTTCAGAAGTTTTAGTCTGATTACCTCATTTTTCTTTGGCAAGGAGCTAAAGCAGAATTTAAGGTGAAGAGAGCAAATTGATGAACTATACCTCTTAATAATGCAGTTTATTTAGATTTCATAGGTTTTTAAAAACAATTAGTCTTTATTAAATCTGTATGTAAGTGTTAATCCTCTGATATTAAATGCTTCTGTTCTAGATATGCACACTTTGTAATCCCGTTCTGAGCCAAAAAGTAACCCATGTAAACTGGTTCTCTATTGAATGAAAAATACTTTTGAAATTTAATGTATTTTGTAAAGCAACAGGTCTGTAGATTACAAAGGATTAGTTTTATGGGATTCCAGCCTCATCCCAAACATTCCCATTCTATTACTTGGGTTCAGTTGTTTAAGTAAAGCTGTTTATTTTCTTTCTGCTGTTTACCTCTTCTATGGCTGCTGATTGCATTGTCAGTTTTAAATG